TATCTTCCGTGTGGAATAATAATGAAAAGCTCAAAGGTGTTTTTAGTAGCGTACAAGGGCATGAAACAGATCCCAATCCACGGCACATGCAGCGTCATAGGGAGCTATCGTGAAAAGAAGATGAAAATGTGAAGAGAAAACCAATCCATTGTTGAGACTTGACGTGAGATCTACTGAAAGGCGTTGAGCCTCTAGCGGTGAGAGATTCGCAGCGAACGTTGCAGTACCAAGTTGTGATGACGAGAGGATACCCTGCAACAGTAATTTCCAGATATCTCCACCCATGACCATAATTGGCTGTCTCAAGCTGGAAATTACCAATAATTTTACTGAATTTAATCGTGCAGGTATAAAACTTCAACTGGAAAAAGAACTAGCCCCAGCAGTCGATTCGATTCGGCAGATCATATCAAGTAAGATCGCTTATACTGGTAAACCATACTCAAGCTTTGAAAATAGTGTTGTACAGAAGCTTTGAGAAGGGATGCTTTTAGACTTTTTTCGAACCTTTCCCCGAACTGTTATTCTTTTGCTCTCTCTTTTGCCAACCCAAACTTTCTTAGAATTTTTTTGGAGGAAAATCGGGAGAGCTTTCCAGGAAATGGTATGCCAGAGGAGTACAGTCGTTGCCACTGCAGACGCTGGGCATGTCAGTGGGCTGGGTTTGGCTCGATTAACACTTTTGTCAGTTATTATTGCATTAGTTCATTTCTACTTCACAGTGAGTACCTCAGCGTCTTCAACCAGCAGGCCGTCCTCCTTCAGTTTTTCAATGGCTTCCGTAGCTGCATTTCTGACAGCACTATATCCTACTTGAGCATGTAATAGAGAATGCGTAAGAGCCTCGCAAAGCGTATCCAATGAGTTCGCGATCTAGAAGAAACTGTTAAAAATAGATGAACCAGGACATAATTAACTAGACCTACCTTTAATGTGACCAAATCCACAACAAACGCTGATAGATATTCCAAACGTGCCAAACTGCTGGCACAAGACATCATAGGTGAGGCTAGCATTGAGCGAAACTGAACTCATGAATATTAGATTTAGCACGATACAAACACATTTCACATTTAAACCATGTGATGACCTGTCTCTCTTCCATACCGGGACGCACGATGGTGATACTGTCACCTTTTTGATCAAAACCGGCTCTTCCTGCTCGTCCTATCATCTGCATGTACTGCGCTTTGCCGAGAGGGCTACAACCGACTAAAGGAGCCTAAATGTGTTTAAATGGGGTCATGAGTGGGAGTCACGAAATGTCTTTTAAAAATTCAATAATGCAAGAATTTAAAGGCAGTGGGCACGATAGCTGACTGGCGGTTGTTGGCAGCATCTGCGAGAGGGCCCTTGGTCACACCCATTGAGCCCTTCCACCAGTGACGCTGGCGATAACCGCCAGTCCCCGGCCCATCGCGCAAACCCTTAATTTACATCAGTCAAAGTATCTTCATACCTTTATTATTACTCGTCTTGCTGGCATGTTCACACCAGCTGCTAAGGTTGAAGTAGCGCAAACAACACAGATTATACCATCCTGAAAAGAAAAGGAGCAACTTCTTATCTCTACCCTGACAACCAACGTGACAAGGCTGCGTTCATAATTTGCGATTCACGAAATTGGCGTCTTGGGAGAAGCGCGAAAGGTAAAGCGTACGTATCGATCTGGCATTTTGAGAAAATCGGCGTTCCGGGAAAGTCGGCGTCGGCGCCGATCGATACCTAGATTATACCTTTCCGTCAAACACCATTTTCCCGAATCGCGAAGTATGAGCGCAACCTAAGAGATACCAAGGTTTAGCTGTCTCGGTGAAGGTTGTTCAATACCTGAAAGATTATTTTAAAGAGAGAAAAGATTGGTTTGGGATCATTGCACGTGGGAGTTAGAAAAAGTTGACTAAAAATAGCGCAATCCAGCAGGATCAGGTGGTAATGTAGCTTGAAAGGGCGATGAAACCAAGCAGCAGCGACTCTGGTTTTGTGGCGCCCTCATAGTTTCAGCCTAGGGCAGGGAAGGTGTCACTATCACAGTAAAAGGAAGCGTACAAGCAGATTTAAGCAGCGCAGGCTACCTTACCTTTATCCCAGTAACTCTTGTTATTCTTTAATCCGAAAAAAATCAAATATCTCACAGAAGAAAATATAGCGAAACTCTTACACTATAAGCAGCCTCGATGTGCTTCCTTTCCTCGTGCGTGAGTCCCGAATGGTGATAAGCCACTCCGGACAAAATGGTGTTCTCCAAGATGGATGACATCTTGAATGATGTATCATCGAACGCAAGAAAGTTTACTGAAGTAAATTAGCCTCACTTGTCCCTCGCAGTCTTCCTTCATTGCTTCAAGGACTTTCTTCTTGTCCTCCAGTCTTTGTTTACGGACTTCTCTACAATGAAATTCATTTGAAGAGTCAAACTTTATAAAACTATTGCGGGATTGCTAGACTGCTTACTCAGGAACACATCGTGCAATCATGGTCGCTACGCTTTCACAGCTCTTCTTCGTCGGACAGAAAATAAGCACTGAACGCTGCGGAATTACTCCAATCAATAGCTGGCACAGTCCATCTGGATCAACTTTCGCCGATCGCTAAATCGCGAGAACGACAGTTTTCCCACAAAAATCACATCGAATCCCTTTCTCACAAAGTTGATCAGCAACGAAACTACAATTTTGAATTCCTGGGTTTGAAGAAGTTCGATATCAGAAGCTCGGCGCTACTGTAATTGAAGGAGCCACCGGTGGTACAAATAATCCTCATTCCATTCTCTGCGCCTCGACGGATGGTTTTGCAGGCCGCGGTCGTGTGCGCTCTTCCTAAGGCTTACAAAGTGTGCAGCAGAGAACGAATTGGCCGCGCCCCGCGAGAGGACCTTTTTTATTAGGTTGACCGGAAAGTTTCCCGCCACGTGTTTGATCGCACCATATTAGCCTTGCATGTATGTTTATGACTTATCGTGGGGTGTGCATGAAGCACGCAAGAGACTCTTTCACATCACTACCTCACACTCACCCAGCTTGCATTTGGATTCCAAAATGCCGCCCAAGTTTCAACCCGACAGGATGCACCTGAGGCACTGTCTTCTTTTCCTTCATCAGTCTGGCTTAAACGCAAAGGAAGCCCAAGCCAAGATAGTGGATACATATGGCGCTGACGCTATCTCTTACGACACGTGCAAGACCTGGATGGCCAAGTTCAAGAAAGGAGATTTTTCTCTCCAAGATGCTCCAAGGTCCGGCCGGCCGATGGAGTTAGACTTGAAGTTGCTGCAATCCACCGTGGAAGAGGATCCGTACGCCACTACCAGGGAACTTGCAGCGATGGCCTCGGGCGGCCCCATCCACGCCCAATCAACTGTTGATATGCTGGCTGGGAAGATCTGTAAGTGCGCAAAGCTTGGGCCGTCTGATCCTCGCGCGCCCGCAATCAATGGCGGGAAACTTCTCCGGTCATCTATGCCGCCTAATAACTACGGAAGCGTTGCGAATTGTTGGAATGAATCTCAAATCAACAGAAAAAACAGATAGATTCCCTCACATTGACGCGCAACACCCCGTTGTGCTCCTCCAAGTCACCGTCAGGTCTTCAACCTTCCAACATGCGTTTGTTCAATTTCGAAACCATACTCCGTTGAAGCTCGACCCTAAAATTTACAAATATGTATCTATTCAGCACAGGTCAGAAAAGATCACACTCATTGGAAGACCTCTCCATGCATTGCTTACTGGCCGGAACGAGGTGGAGTAGACGTATGCACGAAGGAATCCGGCCAACTCGTCGATATTAGACAGTGTGGCTGACATCCCAATAATCTGGCCGAAACCTGGAATTCCGCGTCAGACTACCAGTAAAGACTAACTGTCAGTTAGTTAGTCACGTTCGCGTGGATGCTGGGGCGTGGTAAGGGGCTGGGTATGAGCGGCGCCATCGTTCTCCACTAGTTGTGTCCAACGCCCTTGCACGACCCAGCATCCTCAAGAATGTGAAACATTTGGTAACAGAAAGAGAAAAATAAAACTTCACATAAAAAATGTGTGACAAATTGTATCTCCCAAAATAGGTCGCACAACGCTGCGATCGGAAGTATTCTATTTACTTGAAAATTCCAAGCAAACATGAAAACTAAAGAAGCGCTAGATGGAATGGGCATTCAAAGGACTCCTCGTGCAAAATAAAGATTTTCACGGATGGGATTATCGTACTTGATGTTGGCTCACAACCCCAAAGCTCCTTCCAGGGTATGTCGTGCGTTGGGGATCCCCAACGAGGAGTCGTGTTTGGTCACTGGAAGGGTGGCGGTCGTATTTGCTTCCAGAAAAACTTTTTCGAATGTTGGACTTTCCTCGGGTTTTTTTCTGTTTCAAATGCGCTATTTACCCGGTACCGAAAAAGTGGTAAAAAGCTACGGAAAATTAGAAGCATGGTAGGTAAGATGGGAAAGGAGGTGGATCGTACTTTGCAGAAATTTCTCCAGAAGCAGACAATCCCTCTCGGACCTTTGCAAAGGTAATTATAACTATCACGGTAGATTCTAGTTTAAATGCCCCTCTCCAAGGCTATAGGTGCCACTTAAGATAACGAAAGGCTAATTCTCACCTTTCGTAAGATATTTACACAACAGCTGCTCAATTATGGTACCGCGGCTACCAT